AGACACTGGGGTCTGGAACCTGCAGAGGAGTTTTGTGCCCGTGGGAACCTGGTTCTTCAGAAACCATCCAGGGATGGGTTTTATGCTGTACCCACCTGCCTGGAGCCACCCTGGTTCCTCACCTAGTTTGTGGGCAGAATCCCTGGGGACATTTGCATCACCCTTCCTTCCTCCCTCCCTGTTTGTGGCTCTGTGTCCCAAGGGCTTTCAACTGGGATTCCCAATCCCAAAGCTGCAATTGGGATTCAAGAAATGCTAACAATTTCCAGAATCCTTTATTTGCTCCTCTCAGTGATGCTGTTTGGAGGCTGCAGTTAATCACAGGGCTCAGGAACATCCAGGACTGATTTCCCCATCCAGCAAACACTCAGGAGCTATTCCCATCCTACCCCAGCGTGCTCCTGCCAGCCAGGACCCAGTGCAGGCTCTGCCCTGCCAGTCACACAGCACTGAATCACCCTCTGGAGATGTTCATCTTTACCCACAGCCAGGAGAGACCTGAGATCAGGCCATGATTGGATCTGCTAAGAGAGCTGGGATGGATCTGGAGCTCCTGTGCTCGATCCACTCTGAGTGGCTGGAGAAGTGTCAGGTTGAGCCTTGCAAAACTGGTGGTGTGCAGGGATCAGCTCCAGTCAGAGACATTTGGAGGCCAGCAATGCTCAGAGCTCCTCCTGCTCCACCCTGGTGCAGCCAGCCCGCCGTGGCAGCCTCGGGGATGTGCCCTGGGCAGTGAGGAGGGACATCCCGAGATGCTCAGCCTGAGGGACCAGACCTGTCCTCCTCCAGCAGCCAGAAATGCTTCTGAATCTTTGCCAGGATGTAATTATATTGAATTTATATAAAACAAAACAAAACAAAAAACCCAGTTTGTGGAAAGCCTCTCAAAGCCAAAAGTTCCTTTTCCAGGATACACTGGTCCAAAAAATTGAGAATTTGAGAATGACAGGACTTAATTGATTTTAATATTCAGTTAAGTTTCCTACTCAGTTGAACTTGATATTCTGTTGAATTCCGTGTCCTGTCAGTTTTCCCTGAGGTGTGGCAGGCACAGCTGGGGCAGGGACAGCCCGTGTGGCACACTGAAATGTGCCGATAATTGCTCTATTTTTACAGCTAATCAGCAGCATCTGATTCACAGGAGACATCAAAGCGTTTCCCGGATCAAAGTGTTCCCTCCTTGTCAGGATCTACTGCTCTGCCAGGGCACAGCAGAGTTTGTTGACAGGGGAGGATAAAAGGTGTGAGTGGCTCACAGCCCTTCCCAAACCTGGAGCAGCCAGGAGAGCACAGGATGGATGATGGATGGATGATGGATGGATGGATGGATGGATGGATGGATGGATGGATGGATGGATGGATGGATGATGGATGGATGGATGATGGATGGATGGATGGATATCCATCCATCCGTCCATCCATCCATCCATCCATCCATCCATCCATCCATCATCCATCTATCCGCTCCTGCAGAGCCTTGGGAGCTGGTGAGTCCCAGATCCATGGGGTGACCCCCAGATCCATGGGATGAGTCCCAGACCCATGGGGTGAGTCCCAGATCCATGGGGTGAGTCCCAGATCCATGGGATGATCCCAGATCCATGTGCCTTTGGGAGGGGGGGTGGGTTGGGAGCTGGGGCTGAGCAGGAACAATTCCCTGAAGCGCTCCCAATGTCCCTGTGCCACCCCTTGCCAGAGCCACCATTGCAGGGATCACTCTGGGCCTCAGCACCAGGTCAGGCCCACGGGGCAGCACCACTTTCACCTGGGAGGGACCTCAGGGTCCCAGTGAGGGGTAAAGGGTGGATCCCAGCTCCAGGCAGGACTCAACCCCTCGGTGCTCCTGAGGAGCAGAGTTTACACCCAGGCCCCACACTGAAACCAGGGCATGAGAGCACATGCAAAGGCAGTGATTCACATCACCACTAAGCTCATTCTCCTTCCATCAAGTGCCAATAAAATGCTTCTTCCAGACAGCAGCCAAAGCCTCTTCCTTCCATTCCAGGGCATGGCTGCCTGCTGTGTCAGCGGGGTTGGTCTTACGGACACGGGGCATTGTGGCAGTGCCAAACCCAAACCGCGCTTGGGCTGCATTAAACACTTCATTGGTGATTTAACACATCTGTGGAATCAGCAGAAACCAGGGGTGACTTTAACCAATTAAAGGCCATTAACTGAGACCTGTGAATGAGCTGCTACGGGCAGTGATTTACAGGGCTAACACTCAATGAAACTGGAAGTTTTATAAGGCATTTAAAAACAATCATGAGAAACTCGCAAACGTCAGATGTTTGCAGGAACAAATGGAACTGCCCTGCAGGGGCTGTGTGAGGAGGCCATGGCAACACCAGCCCTTGGGACTCTGAGGGTGAGGGCTCCACATCTGAAAGGTGTTGCAAAGTTCAGCGTTTATGTCCTTTTTCTGTCTTTTAATCTACAGGTGGTTGCTGGGCCTGACCTGTGAGAAATCCAAGGCTGTACTTCTCAATCATCTGCAGTTTGTGGTTGTCATTTGGCCTTGGCTTGAGCTGGAGGCTGGGCACCCACATGTGGGGACAGTGGCACAGTGGATCAGGACAATACTGGCACCCTGTACATGAATTCACTGCTGTTGGAAGCTGCAGATTCCACAGGACACTCCAAAGGACGTGCACTGTCAGCTGCTCACAGTGATGGCAGCCAGTGCCACCTGCCCCGAGCTGCCCTGCACGCCCTGGATGGCCCCAGAGCCATCCTGGGCAGTGGGGGCTGTGCTGGCCCCAATCCCCCATGGGCACAGGAGTCAGGGTGCGCTATCCTGCAGTGCTCTCCCCCTCTCCAGCCCCACGGGACCCAGGTTCCCATTTCTGCACCACGAGTGGGGCAGGGGGCTCTCAGAGCAGCCCACCCACCAGGGATGTGTCTGAGGGGGAAACAATTCCTCAGCATCCTCCTGCTTGAGCAGGGAGGTGGGACTGGATCACAGAATAACAGAATCATGGAATGTCCTGGGTTGGAAGGGACCCACAGGGATCATCCAGTCCAACCCCAGCCCTGCACAGACACCCCATGAATCCCACCCTGTGCACCCCTGAGAGCCTTGTCCAAACACTCCTGGAGCTCTGGCAGCCTCGGGACTGTGCCCATTCCCTGGGGAGCCTGGGCAGTGCCAGCACCCTCAGGGGGAAGAACCTTTCCCTGATCTCCAGCCTGAGCCTTCCCTCGGATTCTGTCGCTGCTCACAGAGAACAGAGATCGGAGCTGCCCCTCAGGAGGAGCTGCAGTCCCTGGAGAAAGGTCTGGGGCAGAGCTGCTTCCCAGCACCAGCACAGAACCAGTGCCACACTCCAGCCAACCCCGGCTCCCAAACCACCACAGCCATCCCACAGGCAGCGCAACACCTGGGGGGCTCCCAGTACCTTGGCAGACCCCAGCGAACACCCCAGGCTGCTGGGCCGTGCCCCAGAGCTTTGCAGCAGCTGCTCCCACTCTGCTGTTTCTGAGCAGGGCAGCAGCACCTGGGCACTGGGAATGCCGGGCCAGGCCGGGCGCTGACTCAGCCGTGGGGCCTAGCGCGGGGCCTAGATCTGGGCCTAGCTCGGGGTCTAGCTCAGGGCCCAGCTCAGGGCCTAGCACAGGGCCTAGCACAGGGCCTAGCTCAGGGCCCAGCTCAGGGCCCAGCTCAGGGCCTAGCTCAGGGCCTATCTCGGGGCCTAGCGCGGGGCCTAGCTCAGGGCCTAGCTCAGGGCCCAGCGCGGGGCCCAGCATGCAGCGGGCACATGGAGGGAGGTGCTGGCAGTTTCAGGCCCAGCGCAGGGATTGGGCTGGAGCGGGGCCGGGAGCTGCTGGGACAGGCAGCGCTGTGGGAAGCAGGGAGTGCCCCGGTACCCCCGCCCTGGGCGCTGCCAGCCCCAGGGACGGGCAGAGCGGCTGCGGGGCATCCCCACGGCCCTGCCTCCGCCTTCCCAAAAAGCTGTGAGAATGAACCTTCAGAAGCTGCAAAGGGGACGTTTTTTCCAAGGCAGATGCAGCTGGCTGCCCCCAGCTCTCCTGTCTCCTGTTGCTGGGCATCAGGCAGGCTGGAAATGTCACATCCCAGCACTGCCACCCTACCCAGCTCTCCCCTTTGCCCTCCACACCTCGGTTTTGAGGAGGCAGGTGGTGGGGAGCTGGTCCTCCATTTGTGCCTTCTCCATTTGTGATTCTGAACTTCCCAGAGCCTTATTCCCCAAAACCTGGTGGTGTTGAAGTAGGGAAAATAAATCCTCATCCAACAGGGAGAAACCTGCAGGACACCCCCACACCAGCAGGCAAGGGATGGGGAGGACAGGCAGCCCCAGCAAGGGGGACACAAAACATCTCACCAAGCAACAAGATCCTCCACCCTGTGCATCCTCCCATCCCCACTGCTCTGGGAAAGGCTCCTTGGAGGCTGTTTATCAACAGCATGGGATAGGTTATGATAACAGGGCAGCAAAACAGCCCTTCAGGACCTCTTGGGCTGGCTGCCAGTCCAGGTCCAGATCCATATCTAGAACCAGATCTAGAACCAGAACCAGATCCAGATCTAGAACGAGATCCAGAAACAGATCCAGAAACCTGGCCTAGAACCAGAACATAATCTAGAACCCGATCTATAACCCGGTCTAGAACTGAATCCAGAACCCGATCTATAACCCAACCTAGAACAGAATCCAGAACCCGATCTAGAATCTGATCCAGAACCCGATCTAGAACCGGAACCCAATCTAAAACCGGGTCTAGAACCCGATCTAGAACCAGATCCAGAGCCAGGTTCAGATCCACCACAAAGACTGGAGGGCCTGCAGGTGATGTGTCCCCAGGGACCGCACACATGTGAAGTGCTGCAGATGGAAGAGCTCTGCCCCCTACAGCACAGAGAAGCAGCCCCCCCACATGGCTTTATCCCAAGGCTTCATTGCATGCTGTCATGCAGAGGAGGCAAACACAGCTGGTCAGAGCCTTCAGCAAGAGCTGCAAATAGGAATGGAAATAGCCTGGAAAGTGAATTAGTGTCTATTCCATGGACCAAGAGCTTTGGAAGCGGTGCCCCTGTCCTTGGTGTCCCCAGCTGTGACCAGAGAGGAGTGAGTGGGGCTCTGGTACAGCAAAAGCAGAAAAAAGTGGCCATGACGAGGATTGCCCAAAGTGCAGCAGGAAAAGCAGCTCAGACCACTGAGGTCTATCACCAAACCTTGCAAAGGACTGTCGCTGAGATGATGTTGGGAGGTTCCTTGTGGGGTCCTGGGTATTTGCTGTGACCTCTCACAGCCTGGGGAGCAGGTAGGCAACTCCTACAGCTGTGCTGTGTTATCTGGGATCAGAGCCTCAGGATGGAGACCACACCTGCACCCCCTCATCACCTCTTTATTTACAGACACAACACCACTGGGGTGTGAAGATGGGAACCTCGTGAGGCCTCTGCTCCCCAGAACCCCCATTCCTGCAGCCAGGGCTCTGTGCAGCCACTGCAGCTCCTGGGGCTCGGCCTCCTCTGTCCCTGAGCCTCTACTTCCTTCGGCTGCCCACCATGGTCTTCCCACGGGCACCCTTGGACCTGCAAGGGAGGAGGAAAAAAAGCACGTGCAAAAAGGCATCAGTGACCACACAAGGAGGATGAGGTGGGTGCTGTCAGTCCTGCAGACTTTTCCAGTTGGAAACTGCCCTGGGGGCTGACGGTCTTCACTGGCCCCAGGTAAATCTTGGAACCCCAGTCAAAGTGTCTGGGGACTCTCTAGGAACAAGCTCATACAGTTACCAGGCGATTCTATGAACCCAGCATTTCCCTCATCTGTTTCTCCCCCCACAAGAATCATTCCAAGAAGAATTGACAAGTTGCATCTGTAGCTGCAGAGGGATAAAAGCAGCTGCAGGATCCTTCAGGACCCAGCCAATGGCTCCCCTTAACCAGTACAGGGGGAGCAGCCAGTGCTTGGCAGCACAGAGGAGGAAGAGGTTTGGGTGGGAAGTGAAGGGCATTTCTGGCTGCCAGACCTTGGGATTGCCTTGTCCCTGAGCCCTGCTGCTGCCCTGGGGTCCTGCAACACACATGGAGTAGGACACACACAGGACAGGTACAGGGACACACAGAGAACCTGTGCAGGGACACACCAAACACACCAAAAACACACACCAAATACACACACACACACACACACACCCCCCCCCAAACACACCAAACACACACCAAACACACACCAAACACACACCAAACACACACCAAACACACCAAAAATACACCCCAAACACACCAAAAACACACACCAAATACACACACACACACACACCCCAAACAAACAAACAAACACACACACACACACAGAGCACCTGTGCAGGGGGACAAACACAGCCCTCAGAAATGCCTGTACTCACCCTTTGCTGCAGGATCACACCGTGGTGGGGCAGGAGAGAAGAGAGATTTGGTGTAAGCGGGTGGGAGATGCTGCCCCTGGCTCCTGGGGTGGGCTGAGAACCTCCCACACCAGGGGGAAGTGGGACAGGGATGTAAGAGCACCACGTGCTGCTCAGAGCAGGGGTTAAACACCCTCCTATGAAGGGCTCCCCTGCCACATGCAGGAAACGTGGGCATGGGACAGGTTCCCCTGGCCTTATGGGCCTGCACAAATCCCACAGCCCATGGGATATCCCCTGCTAGACAAGCTGGGATCTCCAGCAGCTTCCCGAGATGCTGGGCAGAGCCCCTGCAGGGATGGGGTGGCTGGAAGGACCCCACAGGACACACAACTTCCCATGCAGAGGTGGGCTCTCCCTGGGGCCCATCCCCTGCTGAGGTGTCTGGGAAGGAGGAACTGGTGACAGTGGGAAGCCATGGAGGTCTGTCAGGAGCAGAAGAGCAGGGACTGAGGTCTCTGGGACAGACCTGCAGGTTCAGAACCCTGGGCACCAGCAAGACCAGAGGCAGGAGGGGGAAGGGGAGGAGGTGGTTTAGCCAGGGAGATCCATAGGGAGGGAACTGGGGAGGAGGGAGCTGGAGCTGGGAGGACAGGAGATGGAGGAGGGATATAAAGCCACTTACACTTTCTGGTGGTCGCTGATACGGTTTCGAAGGACATTGATCTGCAAGAAAAAATGGTGGCTGGTGAGGTCTGGCAAGAAAAACCTGCAGGTGACAGTGAGGTCTGGCTGTAAAAAGTTGCAGGTGGATGGTGAGGTCTGACAAGGTGCCCCAGGCTGGGGACAAGGGCTGCGTGAAGATGCATCACTGATCTCTTTTCCCCAGCAGTTTTTCTGTGGGTTTTAGAGTTCCAGAATCCCAGGACAGTTGGGGTTGGAAGGGACCTTCAAGCCCATCTCCTTCCACCCTCTGCCATGGGCAGGGACACCTTCCACTGTCCCAGGTTGCTCAGGGCTCCATCTTGCCTGGTCTGTGATGTGTTTGCTCTGTGGTGGTGCCAGGTACACATCCCCAGGAGCTGGGAGATCACTTGCACACCCCAGCTCATCCCCTGGCTGGGGAGCAGAAGGAGCAGTCAGGGACACAGAGGGCAGACAAATCACAGAGGCCCTGGGGCTCACCTCATATTTCTGCCGCTTGAACTTCTCCTGCAGGTCAAATTTCTCAGCCTCCAGATCATGGATGTTCTGCCACAGTTCCTTGGCCTTGTCCCTGCAGGGAGAGCCAGCGGGACAAGTGCAGGGAAGGGCTGTGGCTCCCAGGAGCTCAGTTCAGGGATGGGACACTGATGCCAACCCCTCAGCTGTTCCCCGGGATGGGGCTCTGGAGACTCCCAGACAGGGATGTGTTATCCAGGCAGTGAATTCAGGGACAAAAGCCACGGGGAGGTCAGTACATGTGGGGACACACCTGTCCCACCTGTGTGTCCCTGGCTCCCTCTCATGGCTGGTGCCTTCAGCCGCAGCCCAGCCATGGTGGCCCTGCCCAGCCTTGGGGCCGTGTTCCCCCTGGCTGGGGTGTCACCATCTCCAGCTGTGCCATCCTCCCAGGCTGGAAGCCCCATGGAGCCGTCCCCAGCCCGGGATCCTGCCCAGGAGCTGGGACCCAGCACAGGCCTGCCCTGGCCATCCCTCCCGAGCCTGTGGTTACCTCAGCTTGTCCTCACTGAGGTGGTCGATGTTCAGGGGCTTCCGTCGCTCACTGAGGATCTTCTTCTTCTTTTCCCGCTCCGTTTGCTTCTTCCCGCCCTTTTTCTCTGACTGAGGAAACCATCAAACCACTGGAGAGAAGGAAATCTGCCCAGCCTTTGCTCTCCCCCACCCTCAGTTCTGCACCCAACACCCTCAGTTTTTGGGACTCCAGAAGCACATGAGATCCTCGGGGCCATTTTGGCAATAGTGGACAAGATACCTTGTCCTTGTCCCCATCCCCCTCCCTGTCCCTGAGGCAAGGTTGCAGCTGCACATCTGCAGAGGAGAGCTGAGCTTGGGGCAGCTCTGAGCTCACCTTTGTTCCAGCACCCCCTGACTCAAGAGAAGCTCCCTGGGCTCTCCTGTGTAAACTCTACAGGGGCACGTGGATGAGGTCAGCCCACGGCCAAGCCCTTCCCAGGGGCAGCAGTGGCTCCACCACAGCCCCCTTGGAAAGGCTCCCACCTTCTGCATGTAACCCCCGAAGTGCAGCATGTTGGAGAAGGCCTTCTTCTTCCGCGCCTCCTCCTCCGCCCTCTTCCGCGCCTCCTCCTCCTCCTTGCGAGCTCTTTCTTCCTGCCAGGGTCACAAGCTGGTCAGCAGTGGATGGATGGATGGATAGATGGATGGATGGATGGATGGATAGATGATGGATGGATGGATGGATGGATGGATAGATGATGGATGGATGGATGATGGATGGATGGATGATGGATGGATGGATGATGGATGGATGATGGATGATGGATGATGGATGGATGATGGATGGATGATGGATGGATGGATGGATGGATGGATGGATGGACACACAGATCATGTCCCCAGATTGCCCAAGACCATCCCAAGCTGCATTTCCAGAGGACACTCACGGCCATGCGGGCCTGGCGCTCCTTCTCCCGCTCGCTGCGGATCCGCTGCTGCTCTGCCCGCTCCGCTCGCCGCTGCTCCTGCACAGGGAGGGGACCTTGGCTTGGACACTGCAGGGAATCTGCGTCCTCTCTGTTCCAAAGGACATATCCCTGACCCCGAGAGCCCTGAGGACCCCAAGGGAGCCTGGGGACAGTGACCCTGGGCAGAGGGGCATCTGCATGAGGCACCACAGCAGCCAGAGCAGGGGCATCCCAGTGACCAGGGAAAGGAAGGGAAGGGCTGGAGCTGTGCCAGGGCAGGCTCAGGCTGGAGATCAGGGAAAGGTTCTTCCCCCTGAGGGTGCTGGCACTGCCCAGGCTCCCCAGGGAATGGGCACAGCCCCGAGGCTGCCAGAGCTCCAGGAGTGTTTGGACACTGCTCTCAGGGTTGGAGTGGAACGGTTGGGGTGTCTGTGCAGGGCCAAGGGTTGGACTGGATGATCCCTGTGGGTCCCTTCCAGCTCAGGGAATTTTGTGGTTTGCAGGTACTGCGGTACAAAACCTGGCTCAACCCTCAGGCTCTGTCCTGCAGGGTCAGGGATGTCCCAGGTCTGCCAGGACTGGGGAAGGGGCAGTGGCTGAGTGCCCACAGGGACAAGGTGGCAATAGCCAGAAAGGGGAAGGCTGAACACGTACAATCCTGTCCTTGAGGGACAGGAGCTCCTCTTCCTCCTTCTTCCTGCTCTCAAAGTGGGCTTCGATGAGGGCCTGCAGCTCGTTCAGGTCCTTCTCCATGCGCTTGCGGTGAATGTCCTGCACCAGACACACACAGCCAGAGCCTCCAGCGGCTGCCAGACACTGAGCGGGGCAGAGGGAGGGCAGCACCCCCAGGGCTGGGAACCGGGGGCACAACTTACATCAAAATCCAATCTCTCTCCATCTGGGATCTTGGGAGGCACCAGGTTGGGCATGAAGACCCTGCAGTGGAAGGGGAGACGGAGCAGGATGGGGCTGCAGCAGATCTGGGGCAGCACGTGCCCCTCTGAGCCCCGCAGCCCCCAGCAATGCAGAGCTGGAGGACAGGGGGTGCAGTGCATCCTGCTGGAGGTGCCAGCTGGGCAGCCACACAGGAAGCCCTGTGGCATTCCCGGGAAACATTCCAAGGTGCTTGCATGGCTGGAATAACTCTGCAAGCTGCAGACAACGTGGCCAGGGCCCTTTGCCAGGCCCCCTGAGCTGGCAGCCACCCACTGCTCTCCCCAAAGGGCACCGTGTGCTGGATGTGACCTGGCACAGGCAGCTGGATCCTCTCACCCTGCGGGGCTCTAGGGAGGGCAGGAGATGCTCAGCAGGGGCACAAAGGGATGAGGGGATGATGACTGAGGGCAGATCTGCCTCCCACACTTCAGCACTGCAGGGGCCCAAGAGGACCCCAGGTTTGTAGTAATGGTTCACAGTCCTGCTCCCTCGGGCTCAGTCCCTGGAATGCTGGCACTCCTGGGAAGGTGTGCCTCATGCCAGCCAGAGCCTGGACTCTGGACCCCAGCCTGGGATGCTCTCTCTCTCTCACACATACACACACACTTCAGCACCTGCAGGGTCACAGGGCAGCTGAGCTTCTCCCAAGGAACATACAAAATGCTTCAGAACTGCCTAAAGACCTCATTCTCAGGGTCCCCTTCATGGTGCATGTTTTGCTGTCTGTTTCTCTCCATGCCCCAGTCCCACCCTGGCTCCATGCTCCAGAGCTCCCTGTGCCCCTCATGGACCAGCCTCTGTCACACGGAGCCTCTGCCCTGGCACAGCCCAGACCCAGGGAAAACCCTGCCACACTTACTTGGGTTTTGGCTTCGATTCACCTGCAGGAGCCAGGAACAGGACAGAAAGACAAGGTCAGTGTCACTGAGGGGCTTCCTGTCACACTTTGACCCAACCCACACCCTGAGCCAAGCCCTCCCCTCTCCCAGCAGCAGGGGCTCCACAGGGATCATCCCCCAGCAGCCCTGTGCCAGGGGACACGTTGTGCCTGAGGCACAGCTGGTGCTGCTACTGAAGCCTTAAGTTTTAGCTTTTGTATTTTCTAGACTCTGAACTTCATAGAACATGTCAGCAAGTTCTCCTCACAGTTTAGTCAGACAAAACAATCCTTTCCCAGCCCCAGAACCAGGGATACTGTGCCCCAAGGATGGGACATCATAACCTGTAATTGGACAATTAACCCCAATATGGAAATGGACCAGAACTTAGAGAAGTGTGAAAACTCGTGACTGTGTGTCCATCCTGGGTGGAGCCAGGCTCTTGCACTGCCCAAGGTGAATCCTTTGAAGGCCTTTTTAATGCCCTGTTTATTCCTTTAACTCTGCCCAGCCTCTGTTCAAGGTAACCTCCCAAGGCATCAGTAGCCCCCAGTCAGGCAGAAGAAACGAGGGTGGTACCTCACCTTCCCCAGGCTCCTGCTCCCGCTCTCCCTCTCCACCTGTGGAAAACATTCTGCTTTTTGTCCCCGTGGCCAGTCCTGCCCAGGGACACTGTGGGGCAGCTGTCCCACTCTTTCCCATGCTTGTCCCCCCTGCAGAGCCCAGCTCCATCCATCCCTGCAGGATGAATGGGGGGAGAGCAGGCCCCTGAGGGACATCCCTCACTCACAGGGTGGCCAGGAGAGCCCCAGCTCCTCTCCAGGAGGAATCCAGACAAGTTCTGCAGGAGCTCAGGCTGGAAAAGCAGCAGTGCCTCCCTCTCCTGCTGTATTTTGCTTACCCAAAGCAGCACAGATCCATCCCTCCTGCTGCCCCTCTCCTGCTGCCCCTCTCCTGCTGGGGCACATGGCCAGGGCAGCTCTGCCCCATTACCACAGATCATTTGGCAGCAAATAAATTCAGCACCAAAACCCTGTCACAAGGGCCCAGTGTCTCCAGGGACTGGGATCAGGACTGGAACGGCCAAACCCATCTCTCCTCTGTTCCTGCTTTACCTTCTCCTGCTGCTTTTGTTTCATCTTCTTGTTCTGTTTAAAAGCAATGGGAGAACATGAGCAGTCCTGGGTGAGGGCAGTCACATCCCCCAGCACAGAGGGGCCCCAGTGCCCTGGTTTGGGGTCACAGCTGGGGTCTGAGCCTGCTCCAGCAGCAGTGACAGGGTCACACACCATGCCCATAAGCCACCTCATGAAATCCAGCGTTCTTTTGCTGATCAGACACATCAGAGCTCAACCCCAGCTCTAGAAACCTCCCTAAGGCCACGGACCCCTTGGAGAAACAGCTTGGCCCATTTTTGGCATTATTTCAGAGGGCTGGGCACAGCCACCAGCAGCAAACACCATCGTCCTCGTGCTTGTAGGGCCCAGACAGAGCAGGGAAGGGCATCTCAGTTTGACACCCCCTTAGTGGACACCAGATCTGGGGGACAGCTGCCCCTCTCTGTCCCCCTGTCACAGCCAGGCTGGGACATCCCAGTCCCCAGCTGGTACCCCTGGAGCAGAGCAGGGCCCAGCCGAGCCAGGGGAGCCCCCTGGCAGTCCCCACTCACCTTCTGCCTTGGTTTCTTTGGTCTCCTCCTCCTCCTCCTCTACCTGCTCCTCCTGGCCTGTGGAACAAGGGGCAGGGTGAGCCCAGCAGAGCCATGCCCTGGCTCCCTGCAGCTCCTGGCTGGGGACAAGAGTGGCACAGAGCCGAGAGAGGCTCGGGGGAGCCGCAGCCACAGGAAAGAAACAGCGGCTCACGAAGCAAAGGGCTCCTCCCTAATTTTACCCCAGGGCTGCTCTGTGCTCTCAGGGCAAAACCCCCTAAAATTAATGAGATTGAAGGATTTATCCCCACCTTCTTGTCCCTCATTCCCTCACACCCCAGGAAGGAAGGAGGGATTTCTATTGCTCTGCTCTAGCAGTGAACTCCAGGAGCGGCTGGGGATGTGCCTCTGGCACCTTCCCAATCACATTGTGACACTGCTGGAGCCTTTTTCCACTGGAGGGAGCAGCGTCCCCACAGGAATCCTCCACTGGAGCCAGGGTGATGCTGTGCCCTCAGACCTGGGGACACTCGTGGTGCCACAGCCAAGGGGAGAGACAGAGGGCAGCAAAGACAGCAAACCACAGCTGGCAGATATAAGAGACAAGGCACAGACAAAGAATGGACACACAGCACAGCAGGGCACGTGTGGAGTGCAGGAAAAAGAGAGAGAAGTGGAAGAATGAAAGAAAAACCATTCCCCAACCAGGGAGAGGCAGAAGACATCAACCCACGACTTTTCCCAAGAGCAGAGAGAGGAAATAATGAAAGGTGCAATAACTACCGTCGTCTTCCTCTATCCATTCTTCCTCTTCTGGGCCAGGGAGGAGGGAAGGAATAAGCAGGGATTAGTTGGGTGGCACAGAGCTTTGGCATGCGTGAGGCGAGGCCTTGACCACTGCACTTCCCTTTGCTTTTACACTCAGGGTGCTTTGCCTGGCAGTGCCCTGGAGCAGCCAGAGCTCAGCTCAGCCCAGCTCAGCTCAGCTCAGCTCAGCCCAGCTCAGCTCAGCCCAGCTCAGCCCAGCCCAGCTCAGCCCAGCTCAGCTCAGCCCAGCTCAGCTCAGCCCAGCTCAGCCCAGCTCAGCTCAGCTCAGCCCAGCTCAGCTCAGCTCAGCTCAGCCCAGCTCAGCTCAGCTCAGCTCCCAGCTCAGCTCCCAGCTCAGCTCCCAGCCCAGCTCTCAGCTCAGCTCAGCTCAGCTCAGCTCAGCTCAGCCCAGCCCAGCTCAGCTCAGCCCAGCCCAGCGCAGCTCAGCTCAGCCCAGCTCCCAGCCCAGCTCAGCTCAGCTCAGCCCAGCTCCCAGCCCAGCTCCCCAGCCCAGCTCCCAGCTCAGCCCAGCTCAGCCCAGCTCTCAGGTCAGCCCAGATAAGCCCAGCTCCCAGCCCAGCTCCCGTGCCAGGGCAGTGTCTCCAGCAGGCTGAGGCAGGTGGAAGTTTGAGCTTGGCCATGACTCTCACATGTTCAGCAGAGGCTCCAGCTCCCTTTGGGATATTGGGATCACATCTCTGCCAACACCCATGTCCAGCCCTGCTCTGAGTCAAAGGATCACTGACAAAAGAGATCCTGAGAGAATTCAGACTAGTTTTGATCCTACTGATGTTTCAGGTGCAGGCTTCTCAAACACGGTCACATCTGCCTTTCCTGGACATGATTTGCCCATTGCAGCCCAGGAGCTGATCCCCAAACCCCCAGCAAAACACTGAAGCCCCAGGATGTGGCTCTGGGTCCTTGTAAAAGCAGCTCCTACCTTCCTCCACGCACTCCTCTTCACAGAGCACACAGGCCACAGACAGAGAAAAGGGAAAGAAACCTCAGGTTATTGGAGTTGCTCTGATCAGTTTTTGGCAGGCAGCTGCAGGTGCTCCATGTCCTCTTACCTTCCTGCTCCCTGCAAAGCACAACAGGGATTTACAGAGTTTTACACTGAGTTGGAAGGGGGCCCATCAGGGAAGGGAGGCTGAGGTGAATTTGGGATTTCCTCAAGGCTGATTCCCCGTTCTCACAGCACAGGGCCAGGGTGGCTGTCAGCTGGCACTGAGGACAGGGACAAGCCCCAGGTCACTCTGCAGGCTGTGGAGACCAGGGGCTGAAGGTCTGGACTGGCATTTCAGCAGTGGTCAGGGGACCATTTTGCAGCATGAGAAGATGAGTGACCTTGGCCTGTAATCCCAGAAATGGGCATCTCACACCCCACCTTTGCCCCCAGGTCCTTCCCTGACCATGGGGGAGATGCACAGCCTGTCCCAGGGGGATTGGTGACACACATGAGTCTGGCACAGAAACACCAGAGGATTCAGGTCCCCTTTCTCTGCTGGTGGATGAGAAGTGGGAGCTGTGTTTGAGCTCACCCCTATAACCCCAATCCCATCTCCTCAGGAGCTGCCTCCTGGCCCAGAGCCTCCATCAGCAGAAGCTGCTCTCCAATCTGGGCCTTGGGGAGCGATGTTCTGGATGTGGCAGCAGGACCCCAGCAGCAACAGGCTGCTGGCTTTTCCCATCTCTGTCTCACAGATTTCAACTGCATATTTTTAATGTAGGAACCATCCTTGTCCTGCCCAGCAATGCTGCAGTGGGAAAGTGGGAACAGGGAGAAAGAAAAGGGATTAAAACCACCCCACTTACTGCTCATACTCCTCGGTGACCTCCTCCGTGTCTGACATCCCTGCTTCTCTGGCAGAGTTGGAGGCAGATTGGAAAAAGGGAGGGTTAGAAGTGAGATAAGGGCCAGCACAGCCTGTCCCTCAGCACCAGGCCAGGGGCACGGAATGCTGCTTCTCTCCAAGGCACTTGGAGCTTCCAGCTGTCCCCAGCCAGGATGTGACAGCGTTATCTCAGCAGAGATAAGGCTCCTGCCCCCCTCCTGTTCCAGGATCAAGCAGGAGGCAGGAGATTGGACACAGCCTCCTGTCACACTGAGAACTGTCAGGAGCCATGTCCAGGGCACTCAGCCCCCCTGGCCCAGCCCTCTCAGGGGCCGTGTTTGCTCAGGGGACAGGAAAATCCCCCCATTGCAGTGTTCAGCTTGTTTTGGTCCTGACTATTCTTAGCTCAGGGACGACCCTTCCTCTCAGGTTTGCAGCCCTGCACCAGCACAAGGCCTCAGCAAACCCTCCCAGCCCATCCCTCCGAGTGTAGAAATGCTGGGAAAGGGACAGCCTGGGATCAGCGGGACCATTTCTACCCTGTTAGCTAAAAGGAATAATCTACAGCCTGGTTTAGTAATTTAGCCCTGGTTTTAGGGCTAAAACCTCTGCAGAAACAGCCTTTCATCTTCCCAGCACATCTGTCTCCCAGCTGTGCTCAGGAGGACTTTGCTCATCATCTCACCCCATTTGACCTTCACCCAGCACTGGGTGAGATCTGGAGCCACCAGCCCCATCCCTGGGCACCCCAGAGCACCCCAGAGCCCCAGCCCAGCCCTGCCCCTGCTCGTGCCAGCCTCAGCAGGGCTGAGATGCCACAGGACACAGCAAGGCAGCTCTGGAAATAACTTGCATGTGCTGAAGCACCTGTTCTGAGAGCAGCAAGGCTCCCCTGCTCCTGCTGCCCCAGCTCTGGGAACAACTGCTCCTCTCTACATCTGTCGAGCATTTATTACCCGGGATGGGTGGGACAGGCCTCAGGAGTGTTTGTTCAGGATGCTGGATCCTGCCTTGGAATGCTCAGGCATGGGACAGGGCCATTCCAGGAGGGGAACCTTGGCATGACCAGGGCTCCAGAGGGTCTCTAATCTCACTGTTACTCACAAAGTGCTTTTTGGAGACAAATAAAGGCACAACTCAGCCCCCTCTGCACCGCCTGCTCCTGCTGTCACTGCTCCCTTTCCTGTGATGGCTGCAGGGCTGGGCTCTGCACCCCCTCCAGCAACATCCCCAGGATCACTGCTGCTCCAGGAACATCAGTTCCCACTTTTCCCCAGGCTCAGCATGCTCCTGCTGCCACAAGTTTGGCCAAATCATTTGTGTGGCCTCTGAGCAGCCAAGGCTGCACACAATCATTTCATGACACGGGAGAAGAGGGTTCCCAGTCCCAGCAGTGTGAAAGCCTCTCCCTACATTCCCATTTTCCTCCTCCCTCAGTCACTCTTAGATCCCACAAAGCTGAGGGAACAGAACAAATCCAGCACTGTTAAGAGGGTGCACAAGAGAAAAAGTGGCTCAAGGAAATATTTATGTATCATCTGCACAGAAACACAAACCTTTTCATTAAAGCTTGGAAATCTTGATTTGGTAGAATTAGGAGAACCCAGCAGACATTACAGAGATAAAGAGGAAATATGCTCTGACTACAGCCAATCTCCCAGAATTTGCTGTGTATGAAACAATCCTCACACTCCTTGAAATCCCCCTATCCTTTATCTCAGGGCTGGCTGCTCACAGGCAGGCTCAGAGCAGGCACAGGAGCATCCCAAACCTAAGCCAGCCCTGGGCTGCCAGAGGCAGGACCAGGCTGGCCATGGCATCACATCCCCGCTGTCTCCTGCAGGAACAGGGAACTGGAACATTTCCCTGAACCAGGGCAGCCAAAATCCACCTGAGCCACCTGAGCCACATCAAGGTGCCTCAAAAGACAAACTGCAAATATGCAAATGTGCTGGAGAGGGTCCTGATGGTTTATGCATGAGCATGGCTCCAAGGAATAAAACACCCAGGAGAGAGCGGCTGGGGGACACCCCAAACCCTGAGATGGTTCCCTCCCCTCCCTGGGCTGGATCCAGAGCATCCCACCCCTCCTGGGGCTGGATCCAGCACATCCCACCCCTCCTGGGGCTGGATCCAGCACATCCCACCCCTCCCTGGGCTGGATCCAGAGCATCCCACCCCTCCTGGGGCTGGATCCAGCACATCCCACCCCTCCAGGTGCTGGATCCAGCACANTGGGGCTGGATCCAGCACATCTCACCCCTCCTGGGGTTGGATCCTGAGCATCCCACACCTCCAGGTGCTGGATCCAGCACATCCCACCCCTCCTGATGCTGGATTCAGAGCATCCCACCCCTCCCAGGTCTGGATCCAGCACATCCCACCCCTCCCAGGTCTGGATCCAGCACATCCCTCCCCTCCCAGGTCTGGATCCAGCGCATCCCACCCCTCCCAGGTCTGGATCCAGCACATCCCACCCCTCCTGGGGCTGGATCCTGAGCATCCCATCCCACCTGGCACCCCCAGCCCTACCTGAGCTGCGGTGCTGCCGGGAGCTCGGGGAGCCGGCGGGTCTGGGGAAGGCTCTTTGTGGCAGGAGGCTTTAAGGGGGCTCCAGCGCCCACCCCGGGGCGGGCAGCGCCGCAGGAATGTGCCCGGCGCCCAGCGAGGAATGCAACACTTGTGAGCTGCTATTTCGGCAGCCACGGCCCTGGCCCCCTCTGCCGCTCCCCCTTCCCCCCCAGGAGCCCATATAAGCCCAAGCTATTGTGTGGCCTCAGAGATTTGCTATTTTAAACCCTCGGGCCGGCGATACGCGAGTGCCCGAGGGGCTGACACAAGCCAGCCCAGCTGTCACCGGGACCTGATAAAGCAGGAGCAGGGACCGACCCTGCCCGGCAGCTCGGGATGCTGCAGCAGGGGATGGCTCTGGTTTTAACCTCCCAGGACACATTTGATTCGGGGTTTTCCCTTTTTTCCCCCTTGTCGGGAGAAGGGAAGTTTCCAGTCCCAGACCAGCAGCCCGTGACCAGCAGTGTCTTAGAAAGAGAAACTTTTATTAGAAAAAAAAAAAAAGCACAGAGAAAGCCAAGTCCTTTCCCAAGCCCTACAAGCAGGATCAGCCCCAGGGGCAGCAGCAGGTTCCCACACTGGATTTGTCACCACAGTGGTGGCTCAAAGCACAACCCAAACCCAAAGAATGGCCCCAATAAGAGAGTTTGAGCCTTTTGTCCATGGCACCCTAAAGGCCTCAAGTGAGCATCCCCTGTCCCTGCTGGGGACATTCCACAGGGAATGCAGGATCAGGGGCTACACAGCAAAGGGCTCAGGAAGGCAGGAGGGAAATGGGGCCCAGCACAGGGCACTCAGCTCCATGACAAGCCCCACACGGGGCTGTGGCCACAGCCAGGGCCAGCTCACCCCCCCTGCATCACTGCATGAAGAGTCACTGCCTGCAGGGACAGGGACAAGGAGCAGTCTCTGGTTCAGCTGCGTGTGGAAGGAAGCCCCAGGGCCAAGCTCCCCCTTCTTCCGTGGGGCGCCTCAGAGCACTGGTGTGACTTCATGAACATCATCCTCTGCTTGGGTCACCCTGGCAGTGACAGCCTGGCCAGGGGGTGACACTGCCTGCCCCACCTGCCCCAGGCAGCAGGGACGGGCACGGTCCATGGAGGTGAGGCTGGAACTCCCTTGGCCAGGCAGGTTCTCGCCCCACTGACATCTTCCAGCTGCCAGGGCAGTGTGGGCAGTTCTGGGGCACGGGCAGAGATCAGGAACAGAACAGCAAAATGTGGTGGGCAAACAAGGCAGGAGTTTGTCTTCAGCATCTGTGGGGAGCCTGGTGGCCTGGACACCCCCAGACAGGCAGTGAGTGGGGACTGGGGGCACAGGGACACTCTGCCAGGCTTCTTCCTTCCCATCCCACAAGCAGAGGACCCCATGACCTGGTGCACCCACACGTGGCACAGGGGACTCGTGGCAGTGGCTTTTGGACGGTTGGGTAGGGCTGGGCTGTGATCTTTGGAGCAAACCAGTTTTTCCCAGATGGTTTGATACCACAGCTGGTATTACTGCAGCTGGAAAAGAAAGTGGGAACCACTGAGGCTGTGCCTGAGGCTGAAACCACCCCACCAGCAGCTGCTTTAACCAGGACAGTGGCTGTCCCCAGCAGGGGATGGGGCAGGATTAGTCCCCTAAATCCCATCACAGCCCACTTGCCTTCTCCTCCCAGAGCAGAGTCCTTCTCTCCCTTACAGATGCCTCCAGTTGTCCCCTCCTGATGACTCTCCAAAGTCACAGAGACCCCCCACGTCCCCTGTCCCCCATATCCTGCCTCTGTCCTGCCTCAGAGGATGCACCAGGGTTCAGAGCAGCTCCATAATTACCTTGGTGTCTCCAGAGGTGTCTCCAGGCTGCTTTATCCAGACATCTCTCTTTGCCAGGCTGTTGATTCTCCGGATTTCCTGCAAACAGGAGAGTCAAAAGTGACAGGAGAAACCTTTCTCCATGCATGGTGTGCAGCACTGCCTTGGTCTGACTGTATCCAAACCTTGAGGCACACACCAGCTTTGGGATCCTGGACCTGGGACACTCTCAAAGTCAAGTGCAGCTCCACAGGAGCAGAGCAGGGGCTATTGAAGGAGAAGTGATCGAGGAGCTGCAGGCTTTCCCCAGCAGTGGCTCCAGGAGCAAACCCTTTGCTGGCACAGCTGCCTGCTGCAGGCACATCTGGGCAGTGTTGATTGCCCAGCCCAGCCTGGACTCGCCTTCCCTGACTGCAGGGCTGGAGCTGCACCTCCTGGGCCAGCTGGCCGCCACGAGCAGTGGCCAAAGCCCTCCCTGTGTGAGCAGTGAGACCTGCCCAGGACCCGCTGAGCTCCTCCTTTCCGAGAACACCAAAGCACCCTGGGGCAAGCAGCTCTCTTGTCCCTCTCCTGCACACGTCAGGGAGTAGTCACAGTGACCAAGTGATGACCTCTGAGTCCCCTTGGCCAGGCACTTTGCACCCACAGCCACAAGACCCCCTATTTTTGGGGTCTGGTTTCATTCAGGGGTGCAGATGACTCCAGACATGCACCAGGACCTCTCCAAGCACACACAGGTCTCCAAGCCCCTCAGAGCTGAGGGGCCAAGCACACAGCTTCTCTCCCACTGGTGTCCAGGCAGAGCTGCTCATCCAGAGGAGATGGGACAGCAGAGATGGGATCATGCTGGGGTGCCGGGGTCAAGTACGTGTCCTGGGAAACCCTCCTGCTCCCTCCTCAACCCACCAAGGGGTGAGGAATCTGTCCCTGCTGTCTTAGGAGTTGTGGGCTCACAGTCAGGACACAGCAACAAGCAGAGCCCTGATATGTCATCATGGAGCTCTGAGGTCTCCAAACCTGCCTAAACTGCTCTCAAACCCTTCCATAGGTTCAGCCAAGGGTTCATCCCCGCTTCAACCCCACCCCGAGGAGCAGCACCGTGTCCTGTGGGGCTGCCTGGTCTCAGGGCCCTCACTTGAGCTTGACACAAGCTGGTACCTTGGTATTTTCCTCCTTGGCAGGCTCCTGAGCCCGGCTGATCCACAGATTAATGCGGGATGTCACTGATCCTGGGATCTTCAGGCTGTCCTGTGGCACAGAGAGGGACACTGGGGTTACAGCCCTCCCTGTGCACGAATGTAACCCAGTCCAGTCCCCAGGGCATGAGGATCCCGAGCAGAGCTGCAGGCACAGCCCAGCCCACACACTGCTGGCTCCATCCCAGCTCCTCAGATTGCAGCCCTGTGCCCAAACACAGCCCTGGCACCCAGCGCCAGCCCAGCCCTGCTCAGCCTGCCAGCCTGAGCCCGAGAGGGCAAGATTTGTCCCAAAGGCACAGCACAGAGCCACTGGGAGCTGAGCCCAGGGCAGCTCCTGCCTCACCTTCCTCACCACCGCTGCCTCTGCCTTGCCGGGAGCGCTGCCCTCGAAGAAGTTGCGCTTGCTCGCCACCCCCTCCGAGGAGAGCAGGCGACTCTTGTGGACAGGCACGGAGGATTTCACCCCCTCTGAGCGCTGGGGGAGAGAGGGGCATCAGCAGGGCCGTGCTGTACCCCGAGGGGTGAGCAGCAAAGTCGGGGTCACACCCTGAGCCCCTTGGGGTCTGGTCCCCCCCACCATCACCAGCTCACAGCCCTGTGCACTGTTTCCCCCAGTGGACCCCTGCATCCCCAGGCCCTCCCCAAAGGCCATCCCCTCCCTGCAGGGCCATGCAGCATCCCTAGACCCTCCCCAAGGGTCCCTGCTCCTAAAACCCTGAGGCCAATCCCTTTTCCTGCCTGGGACCATCTCCATCCCCATCAGCTCCGGTATTTGGGGCAGGCTCAGGCCCTCCCCTCCCCACTCGGCTTCAGCCCACCCCTCTCTGTCTCTCCACACATCTCTCCCACCCCTGCCTGGCTCTGCCAAGGGCCTCTGGTACCTGCACAGCCGAGTTGTATTTTTCCAGCTTCTCCCCAATGGTGCTGTTGCTGCCTGGGATCCTCAGGCTCGCACTGGTGAAGAAGAGAAGAGCTGAAACCCCTCAGGATCTCCTGGGACCCAGCCAATCATCCTGGGGAGCAGGAGAAGGCTCTGTCCCCACTCCTGCATCTATCTGCCAGGTAAAGCAAGCAGTCCATTCCCTGCTGCTGACTGAGATCTCTGCGTGTCACCACCTTCCCAGAGCCACACTGGAACACTGAAACATCTCAGAGCTCCTCAGCCTGCCCTGGCTTCAGCTCTGCCAGCTCTGAACTGCATCGCCCCCAGTGTCAGTGTGCACCTGCCCAGAGGGGTGGAGGATCCCTTGATCTGGTCACCAAAGCCAGATCTGGCTGCTCATGGACCTGTTTTGATTTCCCCATGGACAGGAGCTGTGCAGACACAAGCACCAACACGGACCTACGTGACTCAGGAGACACTGGGGGCTTGCTGGGGGCTATTGAAGCAATCTGGGAGAGTGGAGAATATTCCTGCCCATGGCAGGGGGTGGAATGAGATCTTCAGGGTCCCTTGGAACCCAAACCTTTCTGTGATTCCAGGATCTCATTCAGATGCAAGCTGCACGTTGGACATTGTCCCCTGCCAAGTCCAGCACCCTGGGGACCAATGTCCAGCAGATCTGTGCCAGGCCAGTCAGGCCCCATCACCTCCTCCTCCTCCCTTGGAAAACAAAGGATGGTGATTCCTGCCCAGCAGGACCAAAAAAAGCAACATGAGAGGTGCTGACCTCCTTGTGAGAGGGCTTGGGCTCTCTTCTTTCTGCTTCCTGGAGATGATCTGGAAGAGACAAGGAGAGGAAATCCTGCAGTGAACTTTGGTTCTCCAAGATAAGCATGGGAGGTGCTATCTCACTGATCTGCCCCAGGAAAGATCCATTTGCACCCACACCAAAACTTATCTCGTATCTCAAAGCTCCCCAGACTGTAGACACTTTATGGTGATAACAGTTTTATTCCCAATAAAGCCTCATGTTAGTCACTCAAGTGTAGCCAGTCAGCCCTGACTCAAACAGGGAGGATCTTGACAGCTCCTGGTTTTCCCAGCCTCTTCAATCACTTTATTCCAGAGATCTCTTTTGAAATGAAATATATTCTCAGACTGTAACATGGCATGAGAGGGAGAATGGGTGTTATTTTTATCCTGTGCTTTCACAGAAGACTGGAAAGGCTGGAAGGTGGATGGTAATTCCTGTGGCTCTGGAAATTCTGAGGACAATGAGCTGCCTGTGTTCTCATCCCTTCCCCTGAGTTTTCTAGCCAGCACAAGGTGTATGAACTGGACATGCTCACCCCACACACCTTCAGCCAGACATGGAGAAGGAAAACAGGGGGAAGAGGGAAGCAGAACTGCCCAGAGCAAGGGTAAACTGTGAACACACTTCTGAGAACAGGTTCTGCCCACATAATCCAGAGGCCAAAGCAATCCTTCCTTCCCCCCAGCCTCCACTGGGCAATAGAATTCTTTCCCCAGCTGCTTCAGGTCTTACCCTAAAGGAGACAGTTCTTGGGCTGGCCCGTCGGATGGAGCTGCTGAAGGTGATGTGAGTTGGAGAAGGGTCTGGCTTTTCTGCAGGCTCATCTCGGGGAGGGAACTCCTGAATTACCTGCTTTGAGGGGTTCCTGGATGGCTGCTAAGGAAAAAGGAGACCTCAGATTCATCCCAGGAGAGAGAGAAGATGGAGGTGCAGGAGCTGAGCAGTCAGGGTGGGAACTGGGCTGGAGGCGGGAGTTTGAGATCAAAATCCTCCAAACCTTTCCTGTCTCAGTTGGACACACAGAGTCCCAAACAGCCCTCCAGTGCCACCACGATGACAACCAGAGAGACTTGATGGAGAAGGCGATCAGGACAGCACAGACCAGGGAGGGGAAGGAGGTGCTGGGACCCTGTCCACCACCTCGTGGTTTGCAGCTCTCAGAAAAACCTCCCCCAGAGTCCTTCAGGTCCCATTTCCCTCCTGGTACTTTTGGGCTGTCCCTCTCTCTGCTCCTCCCTAGGCCTGGTACCTCCTCCATTCCTGCTCACCTGCTGCTCTGGAGATGAGGTGACAGCCGAGGTTTTCTCTTCTGTGCTCCGGTTTCCCACCCTGGTGAGGATCTTCACCTCCCGCAGCCGGCAGCTTCCCACCTCGGGTGGCTCCTTCCTCTGCTCCCCCCGAGGAGTCCACACTCCCTGCTCCTTGTCCTGGAGCCGTGCCCTCACCATCCCCTTCCTCTCAGAGGCTGGCTCCAGGTTCTTGTCTCCTGCTGGGTCCCCTCTGCCCTTGGCTGGCTCCTGGCCCTGCTCTGCAGCCCGGCCGCTCTCCTGCCTCCTGCGGGGCTGCGCTCCTGCCTCCGGGCAGCTTCCTCCCACCCCGGGCTCCTTCTGCTCCGGCTCCTGCCTCAGCTTCTCAGACACGGCTGGGAGACACCTCGTCCTTCTCCCTTCTTGTGTCTTCAGCACCTCCGAGAGCTTCTGCTCCTCCCCATCCTCCAGGGACTGCAGCTTCACCAGAGATGGAGGCCTAGGGACAGCGACAATATGGAATGACAGCTTCAGAACCTGGGGCTAGAGGGGTGGATTTCATGCAGCAAGTGAGGCAAAAGGCTCTGGGGAGGGGCACAAAAATCCCACTGACATCCTGGAGTCCTCCCTGCAGACCAGGGCTCTCATCCCCATCACCCCAGCTCAGCTGAGAAAAACAATGGATTCAAAATCTTCTTTTCCTTTTGACATAGAGATGAATCATTTCCGCAACCCCATCCAGGACACCAGCACCCAGCAAGTCCTGTGCCAAGGAGGTCCAGGCTCAGGGCAGTGTGCTGGGGCTGCTGCTGGGTAAGAGGTGCAGCTGTGACTCTTCACCAGAATAGGAAAAATCCCACCAACTTTAAGTGGGAAATGTTGGTTGGGATTCAATCTGCTGTGCAGATCCACGCATGGTACCAAGACAAACTGTGAAAAGCTGTTTCTCTCCCTGTGCAAACAGGCACAAGGTCTGGCAGGCTGTGTCTGCACACTCCCAGGATTGGGAAGGAGATGGGATAACACTTGTCCTCCTCCTGAGCTTCAATCACCACATGGGCAGCCTGTGTCAGCACCAGGGAAGAGGAATTTGTCCTTCCCAGCTGGTTCATTTTAGTCATGTCCAGCCCCCACCCAACCCAAGGGTCCTAACTCCATCCTGTCTGAAACACAGGAGCACCTCTGGAGTGGGACTCTCACTGTGGACACAAACCAGTAAATACTGGACACTGCCAGGATCAGAGAGTGGGGCAGGTTGTGTAAGGCAGCCTGGTCCCAGGGCACCTCCAAATGCCAGCTCCCTGCAGCCAGGGACTTTGGAAGCACCACTGGGAAGCCCTTGGGTCAGATCCCAGCTTCAGCCAAGGTCCCACAGCGTCACTGTGAGGTTCAGAGGGGCAGCACAGGCAGCCAGACTCTGCCTGCTCTGCTCTCCTGCCCTGCAGAGCTGAGCAGCCCCTTCCTGCTGCAGATCCCACCTGCAGCCCCCAGCAGGGCTCAGCCCTGGCACCAGCCCTGTCCCAGCACTCCTGGGCCATGGGGAGCCCACCCAAAACATCCTCACCCTGTGTTGCTCGTCTGGAGCCCAACCAACACATCCCCCTTGTCCTCCTGGGGAGCCCACCCAACACATCCCCCTGTGCTCCTCCTCTGGAGCCAACCCAACACATCCCACCCTTGTCCTCCTGGGGAGCCCATCCCAGCCCACCCAACACATCCCACCCTGTGCTCCTCCTGGGGAGCCCATCCCTCCTCCCAAGGGCTGTTGGTTGGAGCACAGCTCTTCCCACAGCTGAGCCCAGCCAGGAGCCATTCCCACCACCTGCAGCAGCTGCCAGGGCTCGGTGTCAGGGGCCAGTGTGGACCCACAGACCTGCTGGAAGCTGGGCTGGTGTCTTTGGCAGGGCTGGCAGGTTCCTCATCCATGGATGTGGAGGACAGAAGGTTCCGGTGCCTTCGCCGGCGCTCTCTCTGCTGCTCCTCCTCATCCTCCAGGGTCCTCTGCCTGGCCAGGCTGTTTGGGAGAAAACATGAGTGTGGTAGTGCACATTTCTGGGCTGTGTCCTGCACGAGGCCCTGCTGCCACACAAGAACTGCTGTACCCTGGGCAAGGCCAAGGGGCTGCCAGGAGTCACCTTGCTGGAGGGGAGCGAGGCCAGCACAAGCCAAGTGTCCCAAACGAGTGCTCTCACTCCACCCAGCTGATGCAGGCCCTTCCCAAAGCAAGCACTTGACTTCCCAACTCCTAATTTCTCCTGCTGGGGGGAATGCTCATTTTCTAGAAATCCCTATGTATGTATAACACAGGATATTGAACCTGTAACTCAGCCAGAGCAGAAGCCTTGAGCTGCCACACAGACCTCAACCACACAGACTGGAGGGGTGACCACTATGGCACAAAATTCTAGGCCAAAACCAGGTTGTGGGAATGGCAATTTAATTTTTATAGAGCAAAAATTCTCAGACACAAAAGTATCAGAGGCTGAAGGCAGCTGCTGAGAGGTTTTGCCTGGGGATGGGGCTAGCAGGGCTCCTCTTCCCTCCTGCATGTGCCTGGACAGGGAATTGTTTATAATCACAGACTGAGCCAAAAAGACAAAGTTTGGAATCATCTTTGACCATTTTAATTTTGCACAAGCCAAACTTGAATTGTTTTTTGTTTGTTTTGTTTTGTTTTGTTTTAATAAAACAACACTCAGAATAAAAAGTAGTCTGGAAAACACCAGCTCTGCCATCCTTTCCCTGTGCCGAACCTGCCCACCTTCTGTGCTGGTGCATGGACTGTGATGGAAATATTTTTATTGGCTGGGTGGAGCTTTTCAGAGCCAGGTCCATCACCCCCAACATAAACCCTCGATCAGCCACAAACACTGCAGGGAATACCATGGAGCTCCAGGCACCCCAACAGAGCCTCCTTGCGCAGGATCCATCCCAGGACCTCATCCCAGCTCCTCATCCCAGGATCTTAACCCAGGACCTCATCCCAGCTCCTCATCCCAGGATCTTAACCCAGCTCCTCATCCCAGCTCCTCATCCCAGCTCCTCATCCCAGGATCTTAACCCAAGACCTCATCCCAGGATCTCATCCCAACTCCTCACCCCACCTCCTCATCCCAGCTCCTCATCCCAGCTCCTCATCCCAGGATCTCATCCCAGGATCTCATCCCAGCTCCATCCAGTGTCAGCCCTGCTCAGGCCCTGTCCCCAGTTTGACTTTTAGCGACAGTCAGAGTGGCAGGGCCGCGTTACAGCGAGGGCTCGCGGCTGGCTCGAGGTTACTGAGTAATCCCAGCCTGTGATAAATTAAACCTCTTTACCCCCTGCCAGCGTTTGTGTTTCTGTTCTTCCTGCTCGGGGCAGGGGGAGCGGGGCCAGGGCAGGGCAGTGCCCGCTGCTGCTGCCCTTCCCTCCCACAGCACAGCCGGGAGCTCCGGGTGCTCCGCGTTCCAAACCGGGAGAGATCGGCTGGGGAAGGCTGGGAAGTGCCCAGGGAAGGTTCAGGTTCTCCAGGTGTGCCCCCTCCGTGTGCCAAGGCTGGGATGTGCCCAGGGAAGGTTCAGGCTCTCCAGGTATGCCCCCTCCATGTGCCAAGGCTGGGAAGTGCCCAGGGAAGGTTCAGGCTCTCCAGGTGTGCCCCCTCCGTGTGCGCAGCCCACACAGAGACCCCAGCACAAACACTGTGGGGATGCAGATCCTGGTGCCTCTGCACCCCTGTGCTCTGCTCAGCACTGAGCAATAACGCTCAGCATGACGGGCACTTCTTGCATTTTACAGTCTCCCTCCAAGTGAAAAGGGATTTTCCTGCTCTGAGGCAGCACAAATCCTGGCACTACCCACAAAACTGCCTCCTCGTTATTTCTAATTAAGCCATGCACCCATCAGGCTATGGATTTCCTCTGCCAATCTTCCCCTCCTCTTTTCAAAGAGGGATTTATTTTTCACTGTCTTACATTTTTTAACACAAAGACATGAGTAAGAACTTTGGTGAGTGTCCCTGCCTTGTCCCTCCTGCCCTGTCAATGATTAATACAGAGATTTCTGACATTTCTGCTCTCTCAGTGCTGCCTCATCTCAGGAGAGCTCAGGAAATGTCTTCTGGGGTGCAGGACCCAGCTGGGCTCAGAGGAGATGGATCTGGATGGGGCTGGAATGGCTCCTGGATCTGTCCCACCCTTGGCAGAGGCAGCTGAGAGCTGCTGGCCTCCGAGCAGTGGGGTCTCCACTAAAATAAGGAAGTTTTTCACAGTGAGAGTGGTGAGGCCCAGGGTGCCCAGAGAAGCTGTGGCTGCCTCTGGATCCTTGGAAACATCCAAGACTGGACAGGGCTTAGAGAGCAACCTGGGATAGTGAAAGGTGTCCCTGCCTGAGGCATGGGGTGGAATGGGATAAGCTTTAAGGTCCCTTCCCACCCAAACCTTTCTGGGATTCTATGAAATGCCCATTTTTACACCCAGTACTAAGATTTGGTCTCAGAACTGTAACATCCACTGGGGCCAGAATTCCTGCTCTGATTTGTGGGACACCGTGGCTCTCTCTCCGTTTCCATCACGGCTCCTGCACAGCCAAGGCTGCCCTGGGGTCTGCAGGGGGTCAGGGCTGATCTCATCGTGCTCCAGGTCCCCTGACCCACCCTGGGATCCTCCCCTACTCTGGATCACTCTTTGGGAAGCTGCAGGAATTGCTCAGGGATTGCTCAGTGACTGAATCAGGCCTTGCTCAGCACAGCACGGGCTGCAGTCAGGGCAGAGCAGGACACACACACCCAGGGGTTGCCTGGCCATGGGGGGACTGGAGATGCCCCCAGCCAGCTCAAAGCAGGTCTGGACGCACAGCCCAGACAGTTTGTTCCCCAAGGAAAGGCAAAACAGACCCAAAATGTACCCAGCACAGGGCGAGAACGCTTATCCAGGTAATGCTCCTGTGCCTGGCTCAGCTTCCCCAGGCAGCAGAAACAAAACCTCCTGTAACCTTGCCCAGGCACAAGAAGCTCTCGGTGGGGCTGGCATTCACCTCTGCCAACAACAAACACTCCCAGGGCACTTGCCCATCGTGCCCAAGCCCCTTTGGCCACCAGCAGCCCACCCTCTCCTCTCCCTGCCGGCGTTGGAAGGGGTTAAGCATTAACCCACAGCACTTACCTGGACAGATCGGACCAGTTCCTCCTGCTAAGGGACATTTTCGCTTCCTGGGTGTTTCAGAGAGCCCCCAGAAGCCGAGCAGGCATCCAGAGCCAGCAGGGATCAGCGCTGCCCCGAGATTCTGCTCCCCGAGGACGGAGAGAAGGAGAAACTCCCTGCAAGGTTATTTCCCTGTGCACCTTCACCCTGCCTGCCACCCTGTCCCCAGCAGCTGCATCACATGGCTCCTTATCTACCTGACACAGGCTGTGATTTGTGTGCCACAGCCGCCCTGCCCAGCAGTGCCACGCAAAACCAGAGCCCTCCTCTGTGCCAGGCTCCGAGCCGGGAGCCGCAGCTCGGGCCATCCACGTCTCCCAGGCTTTGGGAGACAACTCCCTGCAGAGAACCAGTTCTACCAGCCACAATCCACCAGTCAACAGCTGCTGCAGCCCGGCGGAGGAGGTGAATTTCCCCGGGTGAGTGGGAGGAGGTTGGCTCCCGGGGATCCAAAACAGTCATTAAAACACCTCCGGCTGGGCGCAGTCCAGCCCTTTCCAAAGAGCTTGGGAGGGTCCCCTGCTCCTTCCAGCCCTTCCTGGAGGTCTCGGATGGAGCTGTCAAAGGCTCCCCTTATCTCTCTTACGAGCCTTGCTGCAGCAGTGAGCACTCCCAGTTTTGGGGAGGGGGCTGGAGCATGGGGTTACCCAGTTTTTGTGTGCCAGAGAGGCCGTGTGCCCGGGCTCACCCCACACCTGGACCAGCCATCAAACCCATCCTTCCCTCTGGCGATGCCCTGAGACCCCTACCCTTCCACAGGGCAGGTGCAAAGCCACGGCAGTGCTGCCTTTAGTGGGGATGGGATTTGTCTTAGGGGCAGGTGGAGGGCCCAGGCACAGCAGAACTGAGTCCCAGCCTGGATTTTCCCACAGCATGGCCCAGTGCTCCCCCTGCTTGGGCAGCCAGGCACTATTCCCTGCAGGAAATGTCATCCAGGACCCCCTGAGGACCTCTGCTCCCAGTGAGATCATCCAGGACCTCTGGGCCCAGTGAGATCCATCCCTGCACCAGCCCGAGGAACTGGTTGTGAGGCTGGGCTGGCCCTGAACGCCTCCAGCCCACAGGGGTGTGCCATGACCTGAGCAGCAATTTTAATCAAAGGCTCCTGATTAAAATCCCATTTCTAGGAGATAGCCCTGTCAAACGAGCCGCCTGCTCCAAGCAGGGCTCGCCTCTCTTCTCCTCTTTCTTCTTGCAGCAATCAGTCGTCTTTCAAGTGTTTTCATATACACAGAGAATTCAGTCAGTTATGGCATAAGGGAAAAAAATTACTTAAATAACCTTGCAAGCATCCTGCTAATTGCTGACAGACTATATATAGCAGTCCAGCATCAGCAGCTCCTCTAGAGCAATAAAAGCTCTGTGATTAATGCACGGCAAGCACGGCGCTCACAAAACTCATTGCCAAAGGATAGCACTGGAGCACAGGACTTAGCAGGGTTTTCCAAAGGATTAGATTGAACGTGGCAGTGAAAGAACACCCCCAGCTAGGATCTACACAGCAAAGGAATAGAAAACCTCCCAGTCTGCAATTCCTCTGGTTATTAAGTTGAAGAAACTCTAGACGGGCATTTAGTGCCTGGGGATTAGGCAGAGGATGAGCCTGGCTGACACTCGCCCCCTCGCTGACACTCACCCCTTCCCAACAGTTGCTCCTTCCCAGGGCTTTATTTGCAGCTCAGAAACCTTTGGAGCTGAACAGAGTTTCCTCTTTATTCGAGATTCCTCAGAGGGTTTCTCCTCCGTGGGTTTGCCCCATTTCCCTCAAACCCAGGAAAACGGTCAGTGGAGAAAATATCCTTCAGCAGGAATTCCCAGGGGCTGTTCCCCACTGCTGGAAATCCCCTCCTTTATCTCAGCTCCTGCTGGCACAAAGCATTCACCTCTCATGTCTGGAGGTCTTTGCTGCCATGGAGCTCCTCTTCTCCCTGATGTTCCTCACATCTTTTCATGTCCACCATAACCCCAAAATTTCACTTCCAAGGAGGTAAAGCCAGCCCAGAGCCCCTCATCTCACAGATGAAATCATGCTGGAGTTTTTCCATTTGTCACTTCGTACCCCTCTAAACCTCCTTTGCTACTTTATCCCCAAACTCCAAGTGCTGCCAGATCTTTCTGAATGTCTGCATCACCAGTCTTCCCCTCTGCTGATCAAAATCTTCCCCTCCTCTGTGACAAAATCGCAGGAATTATCAGCAGTTTATCTCACTACTGTTTTCTCTTTGCTGGTTGAATATTTAGCTCTGTTTGGACTTTCCCTCTGAGCTGTGCTTGACCTTAAGGTCCTTGCTTCTGGAAACCCAGGCAAATGCTTGTCTCCCAGGTCACCCTTATCCACAGGCTCATTGATGTCCTCAGCAAACAACAGCCAGACCAGATTTCCTTTAACAGAGCTATTTAGGCCACCCTGAGCTCACCCTCAGAGCACAGGCCACGCTGCAGGTCCCCAGAGCCAGGGGTGATGAAATCAGGCAGAGAGATGAATCTGTGAGGGAAGGGATGGCCAGAGAAGCAGTCTGATGTTTATCCAGATCCTCTTCATCCTTCAGGCTGTCCCATCTGCTGTTCCAGCCCCACAGCCCCGAGGGGAAGGCTCAGTGCTCGTGGCCGAGGGAGCAGAGCTGCAGGATGTGCTGTGAGCAGAGAAGCTCCAGGGCCAAGCCCTTCTCCCCTGCTCAGCCCAGGGGAGCTGCACCTGCCCGAGGAGGAGCCCAGAGCTTCCCCTGGTATGATCAGCAGAACTCATTAATGCCCTCTAAGGAGCTGGACCGGTTTCAACAGGGCTGGTTTTTCCCTTGGGAAGAGTGTTCTGTGTCTCATCACAGCGTAGAGCCTGTTTCTTTGGCTACAGGGTGGTGGAGAGCTCCCAGTTTCCACAGCTGTGTTGGAATAATGGCATTTCTCAGCTTCTCCAGGGTCCAGCCGTGAATCCTCCACCTCCATCCCTTGTGCTGTGCTGGTCCCTCAGCCTCAGCTGTCTCCCTGTCTCCTGAGGCTCATCCCTGCTGCCCTGCCATGATGGAGCAGCATTTGCTTTCCAGGCTTCCCTCCTGCGCTGGGACGTGGGGCTCCATGACCAGGAGAAGGGGTTTCCACTCTTGCTCGGCTCCATCCCAGCACTGCAGTGGTGCCACAGCTCCCAGAGGTCCCACCAGCATTTGAAAGCTCTGGGAAGAGCTGGAGGTCTCCCTGCATCCCTGGGATGGTGCTCTGCAGGCCCTGGAATGGTCCAGGGCTCTCCTTCCCCCTAAAATGTATTCAGCTTTTGGGGGGATGTGTGTGATGGTACAGAGGGCTCTGTAGAAGGGTCTGGAACTGGTGCTTGCTCAGAAGTTGAACCAAGCCTGATCACAGCCTTTTCTAGGAAAGGAAATATTCTTAGGAAAGGAATATCCAGTGTCTGAACTGCTTGGCAGCAGCTACCAGAGGGTTTATTTTCCTTTAGAATTTAGCTTTTTATTAAAAAAAAGGAGAAATCTTGCGTTGGATGGTGCCTCACTGTCCTTCAGGCTCCCACTCCATTCCCTGCAGACTGGCCTCCTCATCAGATGCCTCCCTGTTACACTCCAGATCTAATGATGGCAAACATCCCCAAAAGTGACATCTGTGCAAACTTCAGGTGCTGGACAGGCCTGGCCTGGCTCCCTGGCAGCAGCTCTGTGACCACTGCACCCTCAGAGCACAGAGTGACAGAATGCCAGGGTGGCTGGGGCTGAGGGGACCTCTGGGAACCAGCCAGTCCAAGCCCCTGCCCAGGCAGGGTCACCTGGAGCAGGGGACACAGGGACACGTCCAGGTGGGTTTGGGGATGTCTCTGGAGAGGGACACTCCACACTCTCCTTGGGCAGCTGTCCCAGAGCTCTGCCCCCTCCAAGGAGTGAAGTTCTTGCTCCTGTTGAGGTTGAACTTGTTGTTTCAGTTTGTGGCCATTGCTCCTTGTCCTGTCCCTGAACTGGTTGTGATTCCTGAGGAATCTCTGAGCAGATGAAATCATGCTGGAATTTTTCCATTTGTCCATTTGTGTGAGGGACAGGGGGCTCAGGCTCAGCAAGGGAAGCTGGACAAGAGGGACATGCCCTGCTCACCCTGAGCCCTGCTCCTTCCTGCAGCTGCAGCACCTGGGCCTGGGAGGCTCCCAAAGGGGAAAATCCCTTCCTGGTTTTGCCACAGGGGACACAGGACACACAGGACACACAGGGGACACAGGGGACACACAGGGACACAGGGGACACAGGGGGCACACGGGACACACAGGGGACACACAGGGGACACAGGGGACACACAGGGGATACACAGGAGACACAGGGGACACACAGGGGACACAGGGGACACACAGGGGACACAGGACACACAGGACCAGCTGTGACTGTCCCAGGGGTGACAGGGGGTTGTACCATGGCCCTGCTGTGGGGGCAGCAGAGCCCTCAGGGGTCCCGGGGTGATGTTTCACCTTCACCTGCAGCCATCTGCAGAGGCCATGGAATGAACTTCACCACTGACCTTTCTCCATCCTCCCTTGGCAGCTCCAGCCTCCAGAGGAGCTGCGAACATTCAGGGAAACATTCAGGGAACCATTCAGGGAAATATCTGGGCACAGTTCAGGTGTCTCTGAGCATCACTGGTCACACAGCCCCTCTAACTTGGAAGGGACCACATTACAACCAACAAGGAAGGATGTTTTCGGATGTCTGTGTCCTGATGATATGATTTTTCCTACTGTCCAATTTAATTTGAGTAATTTTAAGGTTCTAGTGCTTTTCTTTGCTTTCTTTTGGGGGCTGCAGTGGAGCAGACTGCAGGACAGTGAGGCCTGGGCTCTGCTCAGCTCATGGAGACAGGGCCAAGCTTCAGTTCCTCTAGAAAGAGTCCCAGTGACTCCTCCACCATCAGTGTCTCTCCCTCAGCTTGGCCTTGTGAGTCCCCCGCTGGGGCTGAATTTTCAGTAAAAATGTACTGGAGGGTTCCTTTGTAATTCAGTGAGCACAAACTGAGGTTGTTGTCACCTGGGAGGGAAACACCCGTGGGACTGCAGAGGGTGAGGAGAGCCAGGTGAAAGGCTCAGCCTTCCCCTTTGCCTTGGGGAGATCTGGGATCCCAGCTGCTCAAGGACCACAGGAGCGGCTCCAGAGCAGGGACAGAGAGGAAGAATTGGATCCCAGCTCCTGATCCAACCAGGAGAGCTCAGAGCTGACTGTTGCATCTTCCCCTGGAGATTCAGTCCCACTGAAAGAGCTCTTCCCCCCCTGCCCTGCACTTCTTCTGTGTTCCTAATAAATCTGAAATCTGTAAAGCTTTGTTTGCACATGTCAGTGTGTTTTGCCACCAGAGAGGGATGAAAATGGGACCCAGTGACTGGGGAACATTCTACCTTGAAAAAGAAGGGAATCTTGAGGGAAAAGTTCTGGGTGTGGGTTTTTCTCTCCCCCCTCAAAAACACAGGGCTGTCCCACAAAGCCACCTGTAGCCATGACAAGGGCATGTGAGCCCTGGGACCTTGCTGAGCACACCTGGCTGCTTTTGGGGCTGCAGAATCACCCTGGGGATCCCCTAGGCTTGGCTCTGCAGCAGTTTTGGGTGAGCAGGATCTGAGGGTAAGCTGGGGACAGGTACAGACACAGGGACAGACACAGGGACAGACACAGGGACAGACACAGGGACAGACACAGGGACAGCCTGAGTGGGCAGCATTGAGCAGGGCCTGGTGAACAGCACCCCTCATGGCCTTTCATCTCCCTTCCATCCCTCCCCACCCCACAAACTCCACCCCTTTTTTTA